GAGTCTAATGGGAAGATGGAAGACAAGAGACTGTTTTACCAAGTCTCTGCTTCCAGAGGGTTTCCCTTATGCTCAGATGAAAAGCATAACAAAACTTGCTAGTAAAAACAATGATCAGTAATTTATGTTAACACCACATCATCGTCTTCTGTGATTAAAAAAACCTGATGGACCACTGGATTCCATCTGAAGGTCCTGAATACCATTTCTGACTCTGCAGTACTTCACCAGATGAAAAAAAAAAAAAGCCTGAAAGTCCCTGGTTGAATGTTTTGCCAGTAAATGATCTGTACCATCTACAACCAAGTCATGATTGTGTTTGGTGATTTCTTGGAATGAGTCAGACACGGGGGACTGTGCCATTCTTAATATATGACATGACTCAGAGCAAGATTCTGCTACTCAACTTTTTAAATCAAATTTAAGATTAGAAGAAATCTTAGGGAGTGAACTTCAAAGTGGCCATGATAAGAGGACAACACTGTCTTCAGCATGTTGCTCAGAACTGCAGGTGTCCTAGTGCAAGCTGACACATCACAAGGCTTTTTGTTGGGGAGCCAAGTAATGCATTTTGTTAAAATAAAACTGGGCTCTGAAGGGAGAGTACTCTCTAATGTTTGCTGCTATGAAAAATTCAATTTTCAATAATCCTCAAAACATTTAGTTCTGGAAAGAAAAGCATCCCTGCCTGAGAAGACCTGTGTCTGTGCTAGCAGGTGCAGCAGAATTTGGAACTTTTGGTGAAAGGTCATATTTTATCTCTGACACCACCTAGCTGAATACCACGACCAGAGTTCTAAAAAGCAAGATATGCTTTCAAGTTATTTTCAAACACAGTTACATGAATGGATTTTCAAAGAATGTATAAATAGCTGTGTCTAAAACTTTACACATTGAACCTGACACATCTAAGTATCACAAGTTGCTTTTGAACCTCTTAGCCTGTAAAGACACGGTAAAACGCAAGTATCACTTATCAAAGTACTTCAAAACTTTTAATAAATTATTATTCCTAAACAAAAACTAATGTCTGCATCAAAAGTAAAAATAAAAATCTGGGTTACTGCTATGCTATTAAACACTTTGCATACTTAACCAAAGTTCTGAACACTAATGGTTTTTATAAAACATTTATAGGAACCAAGACTCCACCATCAGGACAGAGGCAGACTGAGTGCCAGGGGAACTCCTCCTACAAGGCCCTGGGCAAGGCACCAGTGAGAACACTGAATTTTAAAGTTATGCTTTCAAGACTGCACCAACCTGTGATGGGTTAATTTTCATACTGAGTGTTTCACAAAGATCGTAAGCCACATAAAACCACTTTAATTTAATGTTTGTGAAAACATTTAAGTCTGAGAGCTACAATTGTTGTGTTATAGATAATAAAAAGATAGTTCAAAAAAAAATCTATACAGCATTTGTGTGTTCTATTTTCTTAACACTCTTTCAACAATCTCTGGCAAATGCTGCAGAAGAAAACCTCTGTCAATTAAACCTGCGTGAAACCAGAATAACATCAACAAATGCAACAAACTAACAGCTCTCTACTATGTGAGAAGGAGGCCTGAGAAGGAGCAAAAAAATTAATTCTCAAAGCAAAAGGATTTTATCTGGGGGGATGGTGGGGGTGGATTGTGGTTTCAAACTTGGTACAGAAGCACAGAAATGATGGAAACAAAGACCTGCTTGCAAGATTTACTGCAGAACTGCAGCTCTGCAGCATTCTTTGATGGCCCTCAGTCTCTGCATCTATAACTGGAGATCCTCCCACGTCGTCCTTCTTAAATTTAAATTCAATTTTATATAAAAGCACAGGTTAAAACTTCTACAAACCAAACACACACATACCTCCAAAAGGAAACTCGGTTTACCTTAAATTAGGAATTGCATCTAACATTCCCCCACTCATTCTACCACAAGAGAAAATACCTAGGAACTCTACTTTTAAATAAATCTGCAACTGCAAACCAAGTAAATTGTGCAATTGCCACCCGTGGGCTGCAACTCAGTGTCCTGAAATACCATCCTGGTTTAATGTTCATTTATCTGCTTAGTGGTTTGGAGTGGACTGAAATAAGTTGCAACTGCAAGTTGATCGTGGTCTGATTTTGCTGTTTCATTTTGTTTTCAATTATAACAACATCAAGAGATCTGGCATTTATCTACTGCCTTTCATCAATAAAACATTCTTCCATCAGTGAGACACCTGTAACAATTTTAGCCTCTTCAATATCTCAAATCCCAGTTAGGCAAAATATGTTAACACACTGACATTCTGATCACAAGCACTGGCACTGAAGGTAGGTACTTTTATTAAAATACCTTGCTGAACTGCAAGGCCAGCAATGAATATCCTTTATGACAGATGAAAACAATCTTCCCAAATGCAGTTTCCCCTTTTCTCCCATCAGACCTGTTTTGACTAAAGACAAGCACAGAATTAAAGTAGTCTCTCCTTTTTCTTCCCCTTATGGTTTGAGGTTTTTTTTGGCCTTACTATTCCCAAACTTATCCTCAGTAGCAGCATTGTACACATGGCTCTACACAAAGAACATCATTAAAAAGGCTGTCTTATGTGGGTATTATTCTGAAAATTCAATTTTTGCCATTTTAACAAGTTTATATTAATGACTGCACTCCTTTACCAAGCACTAGTGGTTTTTTTTATTTCAGTTAAAAGCACACATTTTTCCTTTTTGTTTTTGAAAAGGGAGAAAGCTGCTTTATTTACTAATGTCTGATTTTGTTTTGTGTTTAAGAAGGAGTGCTCTAAATGTTAGAATTTGTTTCCATTCTGCTATTTATTTTTATTTTTTCACATTTGTCTTTTCAATTAACCATGGTCTAATGCATTAAATAAAACATGTTTCTGACAAATGGAACTGTGAACATTATAGGGTTATTATTCTTTTGTTTTTAGACTGCTATAATAATAAATAATTGCTAGTGCCATAAAGTTTAAGATCAATCCCAAAATCGGATCCTGGGCTTCCTTTCATTAAACAGGATGTACCAAGTCTGACATTTTCTTGTGGAATAATCAGACTAGAAATCAAAAGGTAATGTCTGCCCATAAGTATAATATTTTTTAATACACCAGCGATGAAGTACTGAAGAGAATGTTAGAAATCACATGTAAATACCCAAGGAAAACATGTAGCATATTAGCAGTGTTCAGGAGAATAGATTACAGTAAAATTTGTATAGTATTAACAGCCATGTTGGCTAACAACTATAATTAAAATGTACTTCAGCATTATACTGATTTAGGATACCTGTCCCCCACTGTGAAATTTTAATGACTATTTATGCTAAAAATATGCATTACTGATGCTATTATCTCTGTCTAGAGGTAAACAAAACACGGGTTAACATGACCAACAACAAATGCTCATATTAAAACACCCTGATTATCCATTTGGAGACAGTCTCATAACACCATAAATACTATTCACTGGATTTACTCATGTCATTTTATAATTTCTTATCATTTCCTTCTTTTTTATCAAAGTAAAAAAAACCACTTGTTCATCCAAACGTTGCCCTGGCATTTCCAGTCCTGTTGGGTCTGTTCTGCTGCCTCGTTCAGGCCCCAGCTCTGCACCACTGGCAAACACAGCAAACAGGTAAGAGTCCAGAAAAGCAGCTTTTTGCCTTCCCACGGTGCAATATTGCACTGCACTGTTGCACACAGCAGCCAAATGAACCCTCCCTGGTTATTACCCACCTAATGCTGGGAAAATATTGCTATGACATTTTGTCTGGTCGACCATCTTAAAGGTTAATTCTGTTTCCTATTTGAAATTTTCCTCTAGGTGAGCCACTCCATGCACTTTCTATTTACTGATTCCAAACAACCCCCAAACTGTTTCATTGCTCACTCTCACTGTTAAGAACATATTGACTGGCTGCCTGCTCTGCTGTTTAATTCATTTATGCTGAGAGTCAGGCATGAAGACAGAATTTTAAATGTGACATTTGCAGGCTGTTGGGTCATTTGAAGCTCTGACAACACCAGGGAGTTCCTGACACACAAACTGGTCCTGATTTTCAATCTTCCATGTTCTGAACACATCAGAGATTCGTCCCAAAGGTGCAGATTTCAGCCAAAAGTTTTTAAATCCCTCGTGTTTACATCTCGCAGAAAAGACTTGTACACTTTAAAGTTTTAAAATAAGGTTTATGTTTCCTTTATGGTAAAACCAGCAGTGCCTCCAGCATGCAACTCAACTGCTTAAAAACACTGACTGACAAAGGCACTTGGAAAGATCTACGATAATAATTAATACTTAATAAAGTAGTTTACAAAATTCTATTAGGGGACTTAGTGGACTTTTATTTGTTCCTGTTGATCTTTAAGCATTCAAAACCAGCTCATATGTTCACATCATCCCTCATTTGTTTACTTAAATCAAAAGAATAGTATTGCTTTTAAATAAAGACGCTGTAAAAAGGCACTATCTGGGAAAACACATCAACCTTCTTTTTATTTATTTATTGTGCAAAACAAAAAGTAAACAAAAAACCCCGTGCAAAGCAGAAAGCAAGATGACACTGCCATAGTTGGAAATAAAAATGGTGCTAATTCAGAACTGTATTAGGAGCAGAGATTGTTTTCCCTGCTCAACTCGTCACGACAATTATTCCCCAATGATGATTCCATACTTTGGCTGCTTTTTCAGGAAGGGGAATATGATTTAGGTCAAGATGCAAATTTGAAGAAATTAATGGATTTTTTTCTTTTCTTTTCTACCAGTAGACACACAACAATTCCAACAACAAGATCTGAAGTGTTAACTGTGTCATACAGCAAACATCTTTCGGTGCCACGTTCAGAATAAGACTTTTATAATTTAATAGTTGTCATCTGAACAAGAGTATCTTGTTTATACATGCTTACAGCATAAGGACATTAATTCTGTGTGACCTAGAAAAGCAGTTTAAGTCTTACAGATGTTCTTTATTTTCAAAGAAATGTTTAAAATAGAAAGACATACCTGGTGTATTATCTGAGCTACAGGAAGTTGTTCAGCGTATTTTAGTGGTTCTGTGGCCAACTCATCCTCTGGAAACCTGCAAAGAAATTAAGTTCACATTTGTCAAAGTTAGTACAATGTCTACCAAATTAATTTACTGAAATTAGGAGTTTCAGGGATATTATTTTACTTATGGTGAAGAAAAAGTGTATTTTGTGACAGTAATGGAATATATTTCTTACGAAGTTGAGCAAAAGAATAAATTTATAGTAAACAGAAATGTGTGTAACATTGTGGATTTCTTCCCTGACACTAAGCACAAATTTAGCAGCAGAAACCTAGGAAAACCTTTACATTTAGTTTTAGGTGAACAAAGCACTGGTGAAAGCTGGATTGAAATCCCCACGATATAAAAAGCCTTATGCATTTACAGAGCAGGTTCAGCCCCGTTAACAGGACAAGCTTCTTCACTCCATCCTGCCAACACAATTCAAATATGACCAGCTCCAAAGGCAAGAGGGATTATTCACCATTTCCTATTTTTGCTGCAAGTGACATCAGTGTTCAGGTGTGGTAGAAGTTCCATAACACAAATATTCGTACTACTGGTTACCAAAAAGCCAAAAAACTAGTGTGAAAAAAAAAAAAGAGCAGAATACTTCACAAAGAATATGCATCACAACCCTTTAAACTTTGAATAAACTGTAGCTGCAGTTGAAAAATCAGAATCCATAAGCAGTCTCTTAGAAGAATATTTAAATGATAGTAAATTAATATGAAAGCATGCTTTAAACCCTTCAACCATACTGCTTTCATCTACTGGAACTGCACAGCATGTGCAATATTTTCAAAGTATCACTCAAGTTTTTCATCAGCCATTCCTCTATATTTCTGAGAGTTCTGAATATAGGAATTTGAGTTATATGAGAAGAAATGAATAGGGGAAAAAATCTCGATAAAAACAGACCTTTCTCTAAAGTTAAAGCAGAATTATTTTCAGACAAAAATTGTGGCCAATATGTTATTTTCCGGGATTAGATTACTACCTTATATCCCTTCTAGTCAAAAATTATACACACTTGCTGGGTTAATTTACCTGCAGAGCAGCTGCCAGGTAAGAGCTAGAAAGTACAGGCTCAGACTCTGCACTGAGAGTCACCAGGCTGTGGTAAAAGAGAGGACAACAAGGGCACAACTCTTCCCTTTTCCACTGCTGCGGTTTAAAAGGCTTTAAGCTCCAAATAAGAGCCTGAATATCCAGAAATTTGTAACGAACAGGGTATGAAAGTATGAAAGTCTTACTGTGTAAGAAATTTAGAAGCAGAGAACGAAAGAAACACAGCAATACTTCGAAGCTCACAGTGCCAGCCTGCCTAGAACCGTTCAATGTGCTGAAGAAAAATGAAGTAGGCACGCTCTGAACGCCTGCAGCTGGCCTGCACACACAGCTCATCTACTGATATGGTTTTTGAGTTTTTGGATTATTATGACAAAGATGAATTTGTACTTTCACCACGAAACACACTGCTGTTATAGTCCAACACAACCAACACACTTACACTTAGAGTGGGCTCGGCAACTCCACCACAGTGCACGGAAGGAACTTTTCCACTCATTTCCTTCCCACTTCCTGTCATTTGTCCTGACTGGCAAACACACCACAGTCAGTGGGAATTGGAGATTACTTCTGTTCTACTGAGAGCCTGTTAGCTGACACAACACCTTGATTCATGGATACCAGCTACATAAACCCATTTTTTTTAGCCACAGTTCTCGATATGAAACAACTGTACACACCACACAATATTCATCAATATCTGGAACACTTATCTCTACAGTCTTTACAGGGCACTGAAAATCTGGAAAAAAGGAAAAGAGTAACTCAAATCCCCAAATTAAACACTTTAAGCTTCAAGTAACAGCTAAAATTACTATAATCTGAATGTTAGCAGGAATAAAAGCAAAGCCTGTGTGTCTGTTCTGTCAAGGACCTTGGATACTTGGCAAGGTTTTCTGTCTAGACAGAATCAGCATTCCCTTCCACAGTCAAACACCCTCCTTGTCAACTGCAGAAAAAAAGACCTTTCTTCAAATGTCAAAGGATTAAAAAAGATAAAGCAAAACGATCAAGATAATTTTAAGCCTTAGGAAGCTTAACTAAACAAAAATAGGGAGGGGAGAACAGTACAAACACGTATTTTAAAGTAATTAGATTTAAATTGAAATTAGGTTGATAGGAGCTTTTAAACATCAAGAAAGACATTTTATTTTTTCTAATTTACTTTCTGAAAAAAAATCACTTGAACTACACTACATTTTTTATATAAATAAATTATAAGAGATAGATTAGGGTAGATGCACACTATAATATATTTACATACACATCTACATTTATATACCCACACTACAATATGTGTACAGACATGCACACAGGTATTTTGGAAGAAAAGTTCAGAAATGTTCTCTCAAAATTTTTGCTTAAATACCATGAACCTCTTGCAAATGTATTCAGTGATGTACTAGCTGTCAACTCTACAAAAGGGTTTTGATTCTTCTCTCCTACAGATAAGCCTCCTCAACTGGATGAGCACGTATCTCCATCTTTTACAAGAAACTGTATAAATTAAGGCGTGGAAGATCAAAACTCCTGACAAAAATTTCTATGATATATTGCCCAACTACGTCCTCTATCAGGAGCAAGTCATCAACAAGCAAGAAGGTACAAAAAGCAGTGTCTCAGTAAACTCTGGGCATTTGAGGTTACCAAATAAAGTGCAAGAATAACTCACAGTAAATGATCTCTGCAAATTTGATAAAAATAGCATAGTCTTCATCATGGTGATACTGCAGTGCCACCATCTAAAGCCACTCTGTGGCAGTTTGTCAGTGAAAGAACATCCTGGTGCCACACACTGAGATCCATCTGAGCACACCCATGACTTCACCATGGTTTTCCTGAATGCTTTGTTTCCACCTCTTTTCTTTGATCAACTACCAGAATATTTCAACACATTTTTCTAATATTGTTCTCATAGTGCTTCTATTCATGGTTCCAACCAAGATCTGAATTGTTATTATATTCACTGTCCATAGCTATGTACACAGTGGAAAATTAAAAGCACTTAATAATGACATCCTTTTTAGCTAAAAAGGGGAATTATCCTTAGAAGTTACATTGTATTTTAAGCAAAGTAAAGATTTTGTTAGAAAACAATAGCTTTTGCTGATCTAATTTTCCTATCAAGTGATATAATAATCTTTCTAGTTTTCCTATCAAGTGATAGCACCTGTGGCAGAAATAGAACTTTATGACAGAGGTACCTTCCAGGCCTCTGTATAACTACATCAGTTAGACATACCACTTTCAGAATTCATTTTAACAGGTATTAGCAACATAAACTCCTTGAAGAGAATTATACTATTATGAAGGCTCCATAAATCTCATTTTCATTTTTCAGCACAAAGACCAGTTTAATGACCTAATCATTCGGATAACAGGTATAAAAGACAACTTCCTCTCCATTTGGGTTCAGTCATTCCTTCTACCAAAGCTGAAAATTGGATGATGCAACAAGAAATTACTATCCTATAAACATCACTGAGGTTGAAACACTGCATGCAAAAGGCTTCCATGGAGCAGCATCCATCCTGAATGCTCCAAGAACAGGAGTAAAGTCAAGACTTGCCTGTCCCGAGGAAAGGCCAGAAATGGCTATTGGAGCCTAAAAGCCCCTGCAAGAGGGCAAAAGGCTATATTTTAACCAGCCTTTTAAAGAAGAACTGAGACAGCCCACTGCCATTAAGATCACACAACATGGTAATAGCTCACAAATGACTGAACTCTCTCCCCCAGAGCAGAGGCTGCACCCAAAACTGGCTACTCCAGGCACCTGTTATGCCTTGAACAGTGCAAAAACATTCTCCAGGAGAGCTGGGATGAGGAAAAGGGTAACGGGGACCACGCTAACAATGAACCACCACATGACTGCAACACAGGACATCAGCCTGTCTGATTAACAAGCAGCCTCACCCTCTGTCTTTAACAAAGTGACACTGGTTACCTTGGTCAGTTTTTCTATGGATCAAAGAAAGCCACTACCAGGACAGTTGGTACCAAGGAGAAAGAAACCTGCTGCAATACTGCTACTTGTCTTCCACCAGCCCTAAGATCAGCAGCCCACTAACAACGGGCCTCCTGGCGTGGGAGAATTACCTGCAAAAGGCAACCCCCCCTGAAAAACCACCAGGGATAGGAAAGCCAGGACTAGAGAGGAGAAAAAGGTCAACACAGGAGCACAGGAGAGGATGTTCTACTTCCTCCTCTTCTGCAGGGTGGAGGAAGAGAAGAGATCAGGAGAAAGATCATCTCCATTACAATCCTCCCAACTTCGTCTCTCCCTTTCACAGGGTCAGAGAAGTAAATTGGTTATTCTTTCCAGAGATAATTTCCAGATGCCTGGGGTGGCATTCACTTTTGTTCAAAACTAGTTATCTCAGAAAAAAATCCAAGTACAAAAAAACATCTCAGTTGATGGAATCTGTGCTCAAATCACACGCAGCAATTCGAGGCTGTAATTTCACCAAATCAGTTGGCCTCACCTTGTTCGGTTCATTTGTATTTGACACTTTTAAACCTTTGCAAAACGAGGGGCTAATTTGTTGTAATACAGATTTCTTTGTTTGTTTAATTTCTTTCAAAACAATTCTATTACGGGAACAAAAAGTCATTTTTCATCCATTAATTTTCCGGTCAGAAGCAGCCCTTTCTGTCTCAATTGAGCGTGACAGCAGAGCCGCTGCCAGCAGTGCCAAAGCCAGCTCACACTGTTGGAATATCAGCACATACAGCACCATGCCTGGCAGCTGGCAATGCAAAGCATAAGGAGAGCTTGATTTTCAGAGAGAAGACTAGAAAGAAACACAAAATCAGACGAGAAGTGGGAAGCAGTAAGAGATAGCAGAATAGGAGGATCTCGAAAAATTCAATTTAAAAGTTATTTTTGTACCGCCACCGTGACTGCTCTTAGATGAAGGAAAGCGAGCACGAAACAGAAACTGGGGAAAGTGAATCTAAATCCAGTAAAACGTGTCATGATA